TCAGCACTTATAGTGCTTCCCCAGATGTGCAAGTTGTCAGTTACATAGGCGTTGATGCGCACCAGCTCCCCACGCCCCCCCATCAACACCACCACTGGGTATTAAGCTGAATAGTCCCTCTCCTTTGTAGTCTTCCAAAGAGAATTTGAATTTGTCTGATCACTGAACTATTTTCCACATAAGCTTTGTACCAGAGCAGACGATGGTATTTCTGGATAATGTTGATGTCTGACTTCTTGTTACCACAGCAGAGCTGTAAACAGCAAACTGTGTTCAGAACTGATGCTGGAATAATGCTGACGGCCTGACGGCTTTCAGTATTGGTTTTTAGCCTTGTCAAGATTCTTGGACTCTTTATGTCATTATGTACGGTAGATGATGTGATTTTTAATGTCTTTGATGTCTATTTTAAATGATTCAAAAATCATTTTTAGGCAGGATTATTTCAGATTGGTTCACTTCTGTCCATCATTACTTACTTATGATTTCTTATAATTGTCTCATTATAAATATTCTATATGTTTTCCTGTTGAGAGAAGAAACAATTCACAGATAAACATATCATGTTTTTATCATTGCATTCGGTTGATTTACATTTTACAACTTTTTCGGACATGTGGTTGTAAGTGCACTGAGGTGATGGTTTATTAGCTTGTGTTGCTCTGAGTTTCATGCATGAACTGTTTTTGTCTGACACAGTGATCAGTGTTTGGAACTTAAAAGTGTGCCTCAGTACTGGGCTACCCCCGCTCTGTAACATCGTCACATTTCTACTGCAGCTGATCGTTGAATATCTAGGAGGGACTTCATTCCGCAAACTGACTTGTTGCAACTTATTACAGTTTATTACGGCAACATCTTAGCTGACTGGTTATTAATTAAACTACAAAAGGTCTAAATAGATCCTCATTGCAATGTTTGGAGCCCACCTGTCAATTAGTTGTTGACTTTCATATTAATATTTGAACCCCTTTTAGATAAGTGTAATGCAGTAGAGCACAGTAGAGCACAGTAGAGCTTGTTTTGAAAATATTTGTTGACTTTATATTTATTATGGATGATTTATTTGGAAATAGTGTTGGTTAGTATAGTTATTGTAGTATTTATTCTACAAAAAAGAGATTATTCTGTTGAATGAGAAATTATGTTGTTTAATAAATTGTATTATCATTAGGCGTGGGACTCAAATAAAACAAATAATCTAATTAATTAGAGGCTTTATAATTAATCATCTCAGTTAATCACATTTAATTGCACAAGAAAATATTCTTGTGCAAATGTTTTTTTAAATTTAAAAGGGTTTTAGTGGGCGACAGAATCAAATAATAAACATGGACATGAATATTGGAAACTGAAGCTCTTTACATTTCTGGAAAAAAAAAATCCCTGGGCAGGCTTAAAAATGAAGCGCTGTTTTAAGTACTTTAAGTATATTTTCAAAATGGCTTTGTTTTTAAATGATAATAATAATTTTAACATAAGTGAAGTTTAATCTTCTTAAAAAAAAGAAACATAAAAGGTTATTTGAGCAGCTTCACCTTTAAACTCTGAGTAACCTGAGCCAACATTATTTTGTACATTAGGCTAAAACAGTGAACATAAAACATGTAGCTCCGGCGGTAGAGCATCTAATGATTGGAAGGTTGGTGGTTCGATTCCTGGCTTCCTCCTAGTCTACATGCCAAATATCCTTGGGAAAGACACTAACCCCCTGTTGCTCATCCATCGTATATGAATGTTAGATAGGCGCTAACAGCTTAGAAAAAGTGCTTGTGTGATTGGGTGAATGAATTAGTTGTATAAAGCGCTTTGATGCTCAGAGTAGAAAACCACTACATAAGAACCAGTCCATTTACTCACAGTACCTCCATGCTTATTTACTGTCCGTCTCTTTCAGCCAGTTACTTAGACAAACTAGCCTGTTCACATGTTCAGAGCAGCTTTTTGTTTCTATGTGTTAATTAATACTAATTATTATGCAAACATTGTGGTTCAATGTAAACACTGAACTCATTCATCTGTTACAGTGTTAAACCCAAATGTTTCTAGTTAGCATGGGATTTGGACTAAAAATGGCATGTTAGTGAAAAATGTATATTTGACAAAGATGACCCAAATAAACCCAAATAAATGAAAAAACTGTTTTTAAATGATGATTTCATTTGCGAACAAAAAACATTAACCAAAGTTAGAGCAGTCTGACTATTCTACACAGACCTCTGGCATCAACGAGGCTGCTGCTCACCCTCTCTAAACCCTCGAGACACGTGTGCAGGAAACTCCCAGCAGATGAGGGTTTCAAACTCCTCGAGGCCTGCAGCAGATAGCAGCTTCTGAAATAAGCCCAGCCCACCTCACTCCCAAACTATGCCACGTTCATAGTCACTTCGATCACTCTTGTTCCACTTCAGCAGCTTATACTGACCAAGTCTACATGCTTACAAACAGATACACATTACACACTATGTCATGCTGATTACATACTTGATTAGATACTTGCATTAACGAGCAGCTGAACAGGCGTACCGAATGCAGGAGCTAGTCAGTGTATTCATATCGTTCTCATAGACAACAAATGAAGACTGATGCAGCTAATGTGCATATCATCTCCTAATTAAGAAAACAATACAGTATTTGTTGTAATGATTTTCTGACACATAATTTCCTCTGCAGCTCCACACAGAGATGGACCGGGGAGATAATGCAGTGAAATATACACTCTCAGGAGAGGGAGTGGGGTCTGTCTTCACCATTGACCAAAAGACAGGAGATATACATGCACAGGTGGTGCTTGACAGGTCAGTACCTCCCAATAATAATGTCTAAACTGACTAAGCACCTGAAAACAGTAATATCGAAGTAGGAACCTAGAGAAGGCACATCCTCCCAAACTGTTTTTCTCAGGAGGTGCAATGGACGGGGAAGTGAGACTTGGACAAATCAGAATCAACCTTTTTCTGTCAGAGAGATGATTGTGTCCACAGAGATGCTGACTTTGGCTGAGCACAAAAGATTTAAGATTCAAGGCGATTTTTTTTTCCAAAAAACAGGCTGCGGGTGGACAAGCTGAGGCTTGATCAGCTTCAGCTGAGTCACCTGAGCAAGAATGTTTGATGTTCAGGACCTGAAACAGCTGCTGACCTCAGGAAACATCACTGAACATATGCTTTAAAACTGAAGATGTGTTATTACAACTTTCTTCTGAACCGTCACTGCGGCAGACAGCCCTGTGGTTTGGAGACTTTGGGAGTCGTTAAAAAAAGACCAATCATGTAACATCTGCCTTCAGAGTTTTTACTGTTGTGGCTCGAGGGCTTGATAATATTCACCTGCTGCCATCACATCGTGTTGCTGTCACTCGTTTGTACAATACACAGTAAAACTGTCCAATTTATATAAATGGAAATAAACCAGAGACTTTGGTTCTATACAAAACCAGCACGCTCTAAAGTGTGTCTGTGTGTGTGCGTGTGTGTGTCTGTGTGTGTGTGT